TTTATATTGACACTGAGAGAAAATATCTTCTCTGCTGTCTCTCAGACTGCTAATCTATTAACGAGATGATTTCCTTTGCCTTCTGCAATACCGTACAGAAAATCCAGAGTAGCTGGATATGCAATACCGTCTTGCTTTATCTCAGGAGATTGCGCTTGTCAGAAACCTTAGTGTTCAAGTTGACGTTAAGTTACACAAAAAACTTAGTGTTCAAGTTGAAGTTTACACTTAGAACTCTTCATACCATCTCTGAACCTAACCATATTAAACGTGGCTACAGCTTTGAATAATATTCTAAGTAATTAAGTTCTTTCAGCTCTATACATTAAATTTTTGCAGCTTTCTGCTTGTGTCGAATAATCAAATGTTTACAAAAACATTTGCAGTAGAATAAGGCGATATCTCTGCGTCCATTTGCGTATTCAGGCAAGTTGGTAATGGCATTGTTTGCAACGAATACCTTTCCTCAACACCCATTTAAAAAACGCCAAGCACAAAGGATTGCAGTTAACATGGTATCAGGTCATTTTCTGCCTGAAATCTTCACTTTAAACCAAAACAGGCAGCATAAAAAGCTGATGTGTACACCACATGACTTCCTTATACAGAATATTAAATTATACGCATTTTTCTTGCATTTTATTTAAACTTATTGGATTTAATTAAATCTGCTACGTCGATAGCACATAAACCACATAGAGTAAATGCACTCTTTAAAACTCACCATATTTGTTTACCATAGCGACACTCTGGCGCTAGGTTCACTTAACATCGTTATATTTCGTTCATATTATAACTCAGAATGCACAAAATTTATATCATTTGAAGAATTACCTAATCGTTGCCACATGTTCTATTCAAATACTATAATAAATCTAGAACGATGTGTAAAATAAATTAAGCAAACAAAACAAAAAAGAAATAGTTTTTCACAAACGATTCAGTATTTCTCATTCAATTAATTCAGTTCTCACTTCGCGACAAGGCAAAAATACATAAAAACTCAAATATCTACATTAAAAATTACGAAGTAAATCTTAAACTCTTATTTCCTCGAAAAAATTCAAGAAAGGATTAAGGATGATTTAATTCGCAATAATAAATAAAGGCGTTATCTTTGTTGTTGCGAAGCTTAGTCTCTGTCGATCAGCAACAAATCTACTAATCTGCTATTTCAATTATAAACAAACATATCTGCCATGTTATTTAAAAATTAGACTTAACCGCACTTAAACAGCTTTTACATACTTTTACACTTTATACGTTTGGTGCGGCCGATTGCAACCAAAATACGAGGTGCACATCTACATGTTATCGAAGTTCTATATACAAAATTTGAACGTTCTGAGGCTACTCGTTTTTGCGTTATGGGAGATTTTATCTCGCATAACGCATTATAATTGCATTCGATAGCGGTCAAAATGGATATTTTCGTTGAAATATTCTGCCTGAAACTTTTCGCGATTACAATACTTCCTTTTTACTTTGTTTAAGGAAGTAAAAGAGGTCGTGAATGTGCAGATGAAGGAACGTTCAACTCCTTAGAGAAAGAATGTCTTTATTTCTTGCCTTGCTGAAGGGTCTAAATAATGAATGTTATTCTGTATGAGATTCATAGGAAATGTTAGACGGTAACGTTATATCAAAAGCAGAAGCCTGATTCTTAGATCTTTTGAAGACATTTGACATGGCCGTCTTTAGTTCGTCGAATTTTCTCTTGTCTTCTTCAAGGCTTTACTTTCAATGTGCTTTTATGTCTAGCGGCTTAAGAACTCTTGCTATTAATAAAAGCAGTATTTTGAAGGGAAAACTTTGATTCGAAATCCTTAATAATTATAAAAATATTTCAAAACTGTAAACCCATTAAGTTTTTTTTCCAAATTATGTAGCATTTTGACGCATAGATTATTTTTTGCAACTTTGTATCCTTAAAACTCGTCAATATATATGAGCATTACTTTCCTCTACATCGTAGTTTAAACTATCTAACATTCGTTTAAATTTAAAATGCTTCATTTCTTGAAGATTAAAGAATTTAAGTGTACTTATTAATCTTCAAGTTGCTAGCTGAAATACTTCTTTTACTTTGTTTTTTTTAAACAATTGCGTTGGCAACATCTCAAAGTGTATTCATTAAGCGATAATGTAACTCATGAATTAATCCGAAATTAGGTTGGAATTTCGATACGAAACAGAGAGAAATACATAGAATGAAAGCCAATGATTCAAAATGATAACTTTGATTAAGTTAAAACATTTTTCAGCTTTTATTTAAGAATACAATATTGATCTTGTATAATTAGACAACATTTTTATTTTTATTTTCAGAACTCGTGCCTGCGTCTTCATAATCGAACATGCAAAACAGATGTCGATTGCTACTGCAATGGGAGCCCTAAACTCTTTTGTGGAGGAAACAGATGTCGGCCGCTTTTCAAAGCTGCAAAATGTATGTAAATTTCAACATAATTCCTTCGCTTAAATTTGTTTATCTATCTTTAAGAATATTGCGACATAAAAAGTATTTATTGTTTACGATAGCATATCAGAAAAGCCTGCATCTCTGAAATAATAACTGCTACTTTAATCCTATTGTTTTATTGTCATAAGCATTAAAATGCAGTATGCTTCGTCATTTAAAGAAAAAGCTTCATGTTAACTGAGGAAGCCTTATTATTATTTTGCTTTTTCGAGATAAAGATTATTCAGCTGATAATCGTATTGTGTTTCCTGTCTTAATTGTTTTCTGTTAAAATGCATATTATCAGAAATTTTTCTGATGTAAAGTATTTCTTAAATTCTACCTTCCCATTGTTTGCATGGAGCTAAGTACTCTTTTATAAAATATCTTTTTAGTTACGAAGATCATTTTATTTCTTTAGCTGAAGATTAGTAACTGTGTTATAGATATATACTAGCGTCAAAGAAAGCTTTCTGCAGTTTTCATGTAGTTTACTTGAATGTTTACAAATCACAAAAATTAAAACCTTTCCCTCGAAACAAACATCTTCACTTTTTTGGGAATCAAAGTGCTCTTAAATTTCTGCGCTTTTTTTAATCAAACTTCTAAGGTTTTGAAGCAGAAAAGCTCGAGGAAAACATGCTTTGCTTCATGATAATCAATATTATTTCTTCAGTTTTTAGAGTAATACTTTTCTCACATGAGTATAGCCACTTATCGTGTTAACTTTCTTTAGCAGCAGCTGCTACCCTATTTCCCTAGTTGTTAATATATTTCCATTTTGTTGAACATTTTCAGTTCTTATATTAATTTAGAAGTCAAACGACAAAAGTCAGCGTTATATTTGCAAATTTAAAATTAGAGCAGATTTTTGTTGTTTGACTTCTAAATTAATATTTGTTCAGCGCGTTATTTTACCTTAATTTTCAATTCTCTCATTTTTTTCAGAAAAAATTATTGCGCTATCAAGCGAAAGAGGTAATAAAAAGCAAAAAAAAAGTATGTAGCTTTCAGCTAACTTAAATCGATCCATTTGAAAAATGGCTTCTCTGGATTACTAGCTTCTTTTTCTCTCTATCTCAACAAAGATTTCCAAGCTGATAATGCAGAACTTGCGTTAACACGTTCGGTGCCTACCACGAGTTATCTCGTAGGTAGAAGTTTGTGTTTAGGCGCCAGCTTCGAGTTAATCCGCAGAACGTTTTTGTTTTACCTACGCCACATACGATCAAACTCGGAGTATTTTCATGTTCTTTCATGCTATTTTCATGTTCAATTTACGCAATTCAAGATATTTGTTATAATTAAAATCAGTATAGTATAAGTAATTATCAAGTAAATAACTTACGAACTGTAAACATAATCAAGCAATTTATAATAATCTTTGTTATAATAATTGTTGTAGAAATAATCAATCTTTGTTATAAAGCAACCACCAATACGAATATACTCGTAGTTGCCGCTTTCATAAAACATTTTATCGCAATAAACGACTACGATATAACTTGTATAATTAATAAAGCAATTAAAAATTACCTAAATTCAATAACACGTTCGCGAACGTGTTAAAAACTTGACTTTCTGGGCCAGACTTTCAATAGAATCCAAACTGATCCTTTAAATTTCTAATTTCTCAGGAAACAAGAAATGATTCGCGTTTATATCTCCAATTTCGATAATTATTCTGCTTTATATCCAGCATTCGATCAATAATTTCTCACTTAAGTATTACAAAAAAAACATGTGTACAATACATTTGATTTTGAGTGTAATGAAATTGCCTTGCAATTATTCTTACGCATTTGATTCATAAATATTAGAATTAGGGTTAGTTTGCTTCGCATTCACCGGCGATGTTTCTGAATAGGACATACTCATAGCAACTGTCAGCCAAACTGAATCTTTATTGTGGCATACCGAACTATTTCTAAGCAAATCATTGTTACCCTAATAATCTCTTACTCTTCCTTAAGGTCGATGATGTAATTTTTAAACTGCCATTAAAAGTTTGTCAACACAAATTTTGTTTTTAAGCATAATAGTTTTACTTTATTTCACTAAAATCAGAATATTCCAATCTATTCTTAAACAGAATTTCTTCACTTTTCACTTCATAATTTTTTTACTTGCCTCTGCTAATGTGAGGACTGTTTTCAAATAATAATTAAAAATGGCCGAATTAAATGCCTTTTGATAATAAAATTCTAATTCAGCTTTTTAATTAGCTGGCTTAATTTGGGTAAGACATAAAATAGCTAGCTGTTTGAGCTCCATTTCGAACTTGACTGAGTGCACTTCATGACACTAACATTACTTTGGAAGAACAATGCATTTAAGGAGATAAATAATAAAACTGCCGTATATACGAAAAAGGAAATATTGCTCCACATGTTTAATATTTTATGTTTATTTAACACATCGGCGATATAACTTAATGAACATATATGTCTGTATGACTTCGAAATAGCAAAATGTAATTCACTATTGTAAATTTCACAGTATTTGTAAATGTTATTGAAATCAGTAATTGTGTTCTAATTAGTAATGGTTAATGTAAACCAGTAACGTGAATTTTATGTGTTATAGTTCTTTAAATTTTGATAAAATTATTTGATTAAATATATTTAACACACAATTGAAATAATTTGCTTTCGGTAAATCAAGAACATAACTTTTACGCCTTATAGTAATTTCAATGCAGTTAAAATTACTTACTTAAATACAGGGTGACACCAAAGTCTGTTAACATTTGAAAAATCACTAATTTACTGAATATTATAGGTATAGAGGTAAAAACCGTCACACATGCTTGAAGTGCCATGAGGTTTTACTGAAAACAAAGAAAAAGGTGCTTGAAACGGCCAACAGATGCTCTTCATATGATAACAAAAGCAATAATTAGCATACCAATTTATTTTTAACAAAGCCTATGTTCTTTATAACAAATCTTCAACATGTCGGCCGTCATTCATCAACAATATCTGTAGTCGAAGGACAATGGTGTGAATAGTAGTGTGAAGCATATCTGTAGGTCTGGTGAGAAACTGCAACCAGATCTTGCCTTTTAGCATCCTTCATGAAGTCGGACGATCACGGTAGACTTGCGATATCAATTAACCTCACAACCAATAATTCTGGAGATCTGAGAGGCTAAGCTTGACGGAAGTGGCGGCTCAGCCGTGACCTTCGAGACGGAGAAGGCTATGACACTCGTCGAAGAAGTCAGAGATGAGTCATGCTTTCCGTCCATCGTTTTCCCACCATTAGTTTTGTAACTACCACAAGGCGCGTGTGCGTTCTAGTAAAGCTCTAAATTTGTCAATATAGTTTGTTGTTTAGTGCGGACTTTGTTAATATTGTAGCAATGCCTGACCATTGTTGCGTACCTAAGTGCAATTCTAATTATGCTGGAACTGAAAATTACGTGAGTGTGTACAAATTTCCAACGGATGAAGCAAAAAAGCAGCTTTGGTGCCGTAAGATTCCTCACGCGAATTTCATACCATCTAAACGAAGTGTTGTTTGTGAAAAACATTTTCGAGAAGCTATGATTGTGCGTGAAGATGTATTCATGGATAAAAATGGGGCGATTTTAAGAATTCCAAGAAAACGTCCAATGTTAAAAGACGACGCATATCCAATATCCATGCAGATTTAACGGCTGTGATGTGGAGTTAAATGTATCAATTAATGAACAGCAAACTTTAATATATATAGCTGGTTATTATGTACATTCTTTGAAACTGCAGTGTGTAATCTGCAAAGAAAAGATATTAAGTTTGCATAATTTATTGATTGAAGGTGGAGATTATGATAATCTTTCATTATATCAAACAACAGAAACCAAAGATAAGTGCACATATTTAGATATGGTAAGTAGAGGTAGTCTTAAGAAACCGTCCATACTAGTTTTTAATATATATAATTGTTGCATTTTAGAAAACTTATATCAAAGAAATATGAAACACATTTTCAAAAATGCCAAAATCAGCATTCAGTCATTATTTCACTTTTTAAAATATTTATTAGTGGGCTACTTGGTAATGAAATATGTTAGTTTTGCAACTGTAATTTCTTTAATATAGTCATCAAAATGCTAAATACATTTGCAAACATTTGTTTAAACAATTATAGAAAAGTATTACAAGATAGTAAGTTTTCTGCTTCAAATGAACGAAAACTAAAGAAATTTAAAAGAATTAAGTATTTTTATTTTCTCAATTGTAAAATGCAGTTTTATTAATTTTCTTACAGTATTTGTAATTCCAAGCACTGCATAGTTTATGCCATTTAAAAGATAAGTTATACGTATTTGCTAAGATATGACCAGAGTATAAATATAAATGTCTAAATTTAGAGTTTTTACTATTAAAGTATATTATTTTCATTGCTTAACCTTTGTATATATTTGTGATAGCAGGAAAATTCATGATAAATGGGATAAAAAAGTTTCACTGTATGCTGTTTCGGGAAGAGAGTCTTTAATGCATGTGGTATGCTACTGTGTATGTTAAGAAATGATGTTAAAAATCATCAGCATTGCTACTAATTATTGTACTTTTAACTTCTTGCTAACTAAATGATTTTTTATTAATTAGAAATAGTAGTTCTGTTACTTTTTTCTGGTAACTTTCAAACACTGCATAGTTTATGTGTTTTTTTAAATATTGCTAGTTGTGTATGTTATTTGTTAGGTTATCTCATTTCAAATACGAATGCTGGAAGGCGTTTATGTTATAAGATTTAGGTATGCTTCTTGTATGAAATATTTTTATCACATTTGTTAGCTCATTTATATAGTATTTCATTTACATACGTTGGATATGTAGAAGTTGATGGTTATATATTTTGCTGTGAAACGCGAATAAATTAATACCTGAACATAGATAAAATATTAATTATTATCTTAAGAACCCCTTTCCAATTTACCATGGCAGTGGCAATTTTCAATCAGCGTTTAAATTTTTGTAAAATGTTCGTTTGTTTTTCGGTTCTTTCATTTATATTTATGCACAAAGTTAATTAAAATATCTGTAAAAAGCCTAAAAAGTGAAAATAATGTACATAAATCCTCCTTTCTTTTAGTAAACTAAGCAACATGATAAAATGATATTTCCGAGGAAAATTTAAGAATCCAGATGACTCTCCGACGATAACATCGGACGGAAAGCTCCGCCATGTTTATAAAGTGTCATGACCTTCTCTCTCCCGAAGGTCACGGCTCAGCTCGCGATCCTCACCAAACGATGTGTGCAAGAGATCTTTCACATGTCTATCAATATGGGGTAGAGCGCCACTCTGCATAAAAGTCATACCATAGAACAAGTGAACTGGAGCATCCACCTATAAAGAAAATGAAAAAAGTTTCTAATGCAAGTATGCGAGTGCCGCATCCAAAGCAGTATATATTTTTGTGGGAGAAAGAAAGCGGCTTCAGGCAAGACCGGCTGACGCTTCAGTTTTTATATATATTTAATAACGCTTTCAAATGTTTCTTCAAGAAATATTATGGAAAAAGGTTGGATTTTTCTAATATATTTTCACTGTCATTTGCAGTCTTAAAGAAAGCGATTTTTTTAAATGCTTATTCGAACTTTTTTATTACATGTTTTTGGTTTAGTTCTACTTCCTAAGATTTCCAGGTGATTTTCACCCAGAGATCACTAAAGCTTAATCGCTTTTACTTCCTTGTACAAAGTAAAGACAGTATAGTAATCATGAAAAAGTTCGGACATCATATTTCAACGAAAATATCCCTTTTGACCGCCGTCGAATGCAGTTTAACGATGTTTTTGCGTGACATCTGTACGTAAGAACGGAATAAAGGACCCTTTTTAAAAAAACACGGTTTATAAAACAGATTTTAAATAGATTCAGAGGCGATGTTTTCGTGACGTCTGTACGTACATATGTATGTATCTTGCATAACTCAAAAACGAGTAGCCTCAAAACTTTTAAATTTTGTATATAGGACTGTTATAACATGTAGTTGTCCATCTCCCTTTTGAGTTCAAATCGGCTTCACTAAAAGTACATAAATATATATATCCACTCTTTTACTCAGCTCAATGAGCTCAGTTTTTTTTATTCTTGCATGCTGGTAAATTGTGCATTTTTTGCTTTAAAAGTGATTGTATTATGTTCTTCTTATGTTCCGGTTAAAGCTTTTATGCCTTTAGTAAATCTGCATGCAGTAGTTGTAGAATTATCAGCAATTTAAAAGTGTGCGATTAACTCTAATAGAGCAGGTACATTTTTTTACGTTTGAAACTTAGCAAAATAGTGAATAAAGTCAGTTTTTGCAGCGAAAGCAATCCTTTCGCTGAGGTTTGAATTCCGGCGGAAGTACAAGTGTTCAGAAAAAACATGCATTGTAAAATCTTCATACAGCTTTGCAACTGATTTACGCGATCACAAAATCGCGGGATATGAACCTACAAATTTTCTTTCTAAATTCATTGTCTTTCAAGAAACTTTTCTTAATTTTAGCATCTCTCTTTCTTGCATAATTTGCATTTCGTTTTCATGATGCTTTTTAAAGAAGTGGGTGATATGCTACCCTTTCAGTTTAGGCTATTTTTAAACATGCGAATGAATCCATTCTATAGCAGTAACCAGAAGCCATAAAAATGTTTTGGGCGAGGTGATTCAGAGTGTAATAACTTTTTTGCTGTAGATCCACGTAAGTCTTCATCAGGTGGGTGGTTTATCAATAGGTATTTTGAAGCAGAAAATAAAAACTAATTAACCCATGTTTCTCGCGAATGGGAAAGTATGCTGGATATTCTTACACAATATGTCTTGCTTAAAATAAACTTTTTGTGCTATGTATGTCTCGCTTGGTATCAATCAATTCTACAATCGGTTAAAATTTTTATTCAGTATGTCTACTGTCAAGAATAAACCTTTTGGATATTTCATGATGTAAAAATGGTGGACATTGAATATGATAAATAACTTAGGGAAGCAAAATTTTGAAAAGTCAAAGAATTCTTTTAGTTTATCATCTCATTTGTACAGGCTAGAATTACATTTGTTATTTCCGAAATTTTAAAATAAATTACATTTATTTTAAACGCAGAACAGCATAATTAATTAGCATAATAAGTAAATGTAAAAGGCATAATAAGTACAGCATAATAAGTAAATGTAAAAGGCACATACTGGAACATATATGTAGAAGCAACGACAAATATAAATTGGCTTGGTTTTTTTTTTTTTTTTTTTTTTTTTTTTTAAATATTGAAGGAAACCCATATTAAATATTTGTAAGACATTTCCTTTCATACACTTTTATAATGAACTGTCAGAACACTTTTCGAATAAGTGGAAGAGTCAGATTTAATACCCTACGAGGGCACATGTTAATTTTACTTCATTTCTAACTCAAAATTCTGTTTACTTTGAATTTTAATTCCATATTAAAATATTTTAACTACTAAAGATGATTTTTTTAAAATGAAATTATCTACAAATCCTGTAAATGCGTAATGTTTTCTTAACATTCATAAAGATAGATAGAAATATATTTATAAGTTAAAATTTGTAAGTATCCATAATTATGCATTTAAATTTTATATAATAATATACATTTACAAATTTTAATGGGTGAATGTATTTCAGTCAATATCTAATTGCTGTAATTTTATCTGAGACAATGAAAACTCATGAGTCGAAATTTTTATACGATTGAAAGCTTAATTCTTTTTCTAAAGGTTTTTATGGCAGAAACACAAAAATTATTCATTTTACGAAATAATACTGTTTATACAATTCGTCAGATTTCTTGAAATTTTAATCAGCCAGTTTGGAAAAATTATACACTCAGACATTAAAATTACATTTTTATGAACGAAACGAAGACAGAATTATCTTAGAACCCTGCAAGCACATTACACAAATATAACATTAATCGACACATTAATGAATGTATATAGAGATATGCTAATAAGTTCACATTTTTAATCGTGTATAACTATACACTAGCATAAAATTATATACAGTATAAGGTATTTCTCCCGCCTTCATAGCATGCCTTCGTTGTGTAATGGTCAGCCCACTCTGCGAATATTTGAGAGTTCCGGGGTTAGAGTCCCGGCGAGAGTATTGCACATTTTTCATGTCTCCTACTTCGAAATAACCTAATGTCCCTGCAACAGGAATACTTTATATGAAATTCAGTATGAGAAATTTACTAAAATGTAAATATAAACATATCATCTAGACCAGGTATAGTCAACCTGATCCCTACCGCCCACTAGTGGGCTATTTACACCTAAGATAAGAAAGAAAAGATAAGAAAATCTATTTCTATCCTTATCTTATCTTTCTTCATCCTTTATTTGGTTCATTTGCACTTAGCAGCTGAAGAAGGTAGTTCAAAAACTATTGAAACTAGTACTGCAAAAAATTTATAAAAATTTACCTTGATTTCTAAATGTTAGTTTTTGATAATGCTAGTATTTTGTTAAATCATGTAAATAGAATTTTAATGAAGAGATATTAAGAAAGAAACTGAAAAAGGCATAAAACAGTTTATGAAATAAAGATTGAAATGCATCATAAATACATCTTTTCTAAAATGCGCTTCTTTAACACTTTTAGTGATTTTACTGTTCAAATAAAATATTCAATTACCTAAACACTTTTCTTAACATAAATCCAAAAATATGCATTTTATAGAATAAAAAATAAAATAACGGTATGTCGAATGGACGACATAGAATGTCGAATATGAAATAGCAATTTAAAAACTTAAGATTGACTCAGTGCTTATTCATTCCTATTGAAAAACTAAATCTATTCATAGTTATTGATTTAGTACAAAGCTCTCTCTCTCTCTCTTTATATATATATATATATAATATAAATTTAAATATATATCGGTGAGTTCGTTTCATTTTTATTCGTTTAATACAAGTAACATAATCATATTTGAAATTATTTTTAAATTCTAATTATCTTTTCAGATTAATCTTCTTTGAAGACTGTTAGTTTCGTGTCAAATTTAAACACAAATTCTTGAAAATCGCGATTCGAAGAAATTATATTATCCTAAATTCAATTTAATTTCTTTTACTTTGAAAAGTTTTACAGACGCAGAATTATGGATTTAATTAAATTATATGATAAAATAATTATATTATAATATAATATTGTGAAAATATTATTACTCTGATCCTTCGGAAGATGCTTCTGGTTACATACATTTAAATTTATCATTAAACTCCAGGTTCAAAATGACCACCAGCGGCCGAGCGGTAAAGTCGCTGAACACTGGTAGTTCGGTCCGAGGTTCGAATCCCGCGAACGGGCTGGCTGCATGGGTGTTTTCGTGGTTTTCCCCACGTGTAACGTATATACGAGCCAGTTTCCCTTAGAAAGTCCTCCACGAAAGGCATCCCTCCCCTTAGGCAGATAGCCCTAGTGTGCTTTGCCATAATTAAATACGCACATACACCAGGTTCATAATAAATTCTTGCATTTGGTAATTTGTACATAAAGTGCATTTAATTTTTAATATGGAGGTAATTCTTTTAAAGTCTTATTATGTTTTACTCAGTTATAATTTAGAATCACGAAAGCCAAATATTTATAGAATAAACTGTTTCTAGAAGTAGTACAAGTTTAATACTTTGTTACAATAATGTATTAGTGCAGCTATATGCATTTATGCCTTATGGTCAAAATAATATAGAAGCATTCTAAAGTTTGTTTAAAATGACGGCTTTCTATTTTCTCGATATTTCAATAAACTGCTATCCCTGCAAATTTTAGTAAAATGTGAAATAAAATTACATCATTAAAACAAGCATATACAATTAATTGGTTTTAATGTCAAACTCTAAAAAACATTTTTAACTGTCCCAACATTATTGAAGAAGTGAAACAACAGGAGTTAGAGTAATATTTGTAAATTTTGCAGAACTAATATCAGTGGTTCTATAATTGACAGATGAGAGCAGATTCTGAACACCCGTGTGGTTTACGTAGACTATTCGGGTCTAGCCCACACTCCGCAACTATCCGGGCAACACCTCTTGGGCCCCATAAGGGTACACATTGATCCTGTTTCATAATACATGCTTACATAGTCCATACATACACATGCTTACATAGTTCATAACAGACATAGTTCATACATGCTTACATAGTTTATAATACATTGATCCTGTTTCATAATACATGCTTACATTGTTCATAACAATTTTCATTGTCCATAATTATACATGTTTCATGATATATACAGTACATATGTAATGTTAATCTCTACTAAATCTGCAGGAAAGAGAGGAAAAAAAGAGAGATTGACTGGGATCTATTCCGCATTGCACAAGTCTGTT